TAGAATTTAAGGAATTTTAGGAGAAAACACAAAATTATATTTTTCTTACCCTGAAGTAAAATATTCAAACCCAGAAGCTATAAAGTAAAATACTGACAATATGACTATATTAAACATTTAAGACTGTACAGTAATATACATATAAAAAAAGTTAAAGGACAAGTAATAGAATAGGAAAGTATTTGCAACACATCTAAAAAAGGGTTAATGGTTTGTTTGGTTTTTTTAGGGGAAAAAAATTCTACAAACATTTAATCAAAAAATGGATAAATAATACCAGAAAGTCATTTAAAGCATTTAAAAAATAATAGAAATAGGCAAGAAATATATAAAAACAGGTTTGGTTACAACTAATAATAAAGGAATAATTAAAATAACACATCATTGTCACAATCAGATTAATACATATTAAAAAATATTGGTAATACTAGGTATCGGCAACTCTGAAAGGAACTGGGTAGTCATAGACTCTTTTTCTTCATTTTCTTAAAGCAATCCCTTTAGCACATTTTGCAGTGCTGGTTTGCTGGAGGTGTATTCTTTTAGCCTTCTTTTGTCTGGGAAACACCTTATTTTGCCTTCCATTTTAACTGAGAGCCTTGCTGGGGAGAGCAGCCTTGGTTGCAGGCCTTTGCTTTTCATGACTTGGAATAGTTCTTGCTGTTCCCTTCTGGTTGCAGTGTTTCTGTTTAGAAGTCAGCTGCTAGCCATATTGGGGTTCCCTTATATGTTATTACCTCTTTCTTCCTTGCTGCCTTTAGGATTCTCTGTTTTTCCCTGATATTTGCCATTTTAATGATGATGTGTCTTGGAGTGGGTCTCTTTGTGTTCCTCTTGAATGGGATTCTATGTGCTTCCTGGACTTGTGTGACTTTTTCCCTCCTCCAATTAGGGAAGTTGTCCATCATAATTTTTTCAAACAGGTTCTCTATCCCTTCCTCATCCTCTTCTCCTTCTGGTATCCCTATTATAAGGATATTATTACGTTTCAGGTTGTCCTGCGTTTCCCTAAATGCCTCTTCATTCTTTTTGAGTCTTTTTTCATTTTCTTGCTCTTTCAGGGAGCTTTTTTCTACCTTGTCCTCCAGCTCACTGATTCAGTCCTCAGTTTCATCTAGCCTACTTTTGATTCCTTCCACTGTGTTCTTCAATTCAGAAATTGTATTCTTCATATCCTCTTGTGTCTTCTTGATAGTTTCTATGTCCTTTCTCATGCTGATATAGTTGGCAGTTAAGTTCGTCATAGTTTCCCTGTAGTTTTTTGTAATTCTCCCTGAGCTCACTGAGCTCATTGAGTTTCCTTAGAACCATTGTTTGGAACTTAATTATCTGATAGTTTACTTGCCTCTATTTCATTTAGTTCTCTTTCTGGGGATTCCTCCTTTCCCTTCAAGTGGGGCATATTTCTTTGTCTTCCCATTATTTGTGAGACTCTTCTTTTTTGCTTCTCCTTTTTAAGTTGATCTGTCTTGATTTCCTGACTTTGTGGTATGAACTTCTATGGTAGGAGATCACTGTTTTTACTTTCTGGATCTGCCTCAGAATGTGTCAGATGTTGACCCTGTCTGACCTTAGGCAGTCTGTTCGAGACTTCCAGTAATCTACTATTTGTGGCTGTCTCCTTCAGCTGTTAATCTAGTCACTCTGCCCTCAGCAGGCTGCCTTAGACAGCTCAGGGCAGGGCGGAGTCCCTTCTCGGGGCGGGGTTATTGGGTCCTCTTATGTTGCTGCTGTATGGGGGAGGAGTCAGTGCTGGGATCGTGCTGGCTACTCTCTCCATTCTCTCCCCAAATCCTCCATCTCCAGTCTCTCCTCAAGTGTTTCCAGACCTCTCTTTGCCCCCTTTAGCCAGGGATCTATTGTCTGTGGCTGCCAACTGCACTCAGCAGACAGCTTAGACAGCACAGGACAGGGTGCTGGGGGCGGGGTATTGGGTCCTCTGTCAGTGGTGCTGCTCAGGAGGAGTGGTCTCTGCCTGAGCAAGATGGCTGCTGCCACATAGGGGATGAGTCAGCACCGAGATCCGGCCGGCTACTCTCAGTTCTTTCCCCAAAGCCTCCTTCCCCGGTCTCTCCTCAGGTGTATCTAGTCCACTCTGCCCCGACCTCTGCCGGAGACCATGGTAAGTGGCTGCAAATAAAAATTTTGCATTGGCCCTTTAAAAGGCTCTTTGAGTCTCCAGCTGCCTGTCTCTAGCAGAGAGCAACACTGCTGCTTTTCACAGCTGGCTGTTTTCTGTGTACTTTTTGGGTTTTGATGCTATAGGCTAGAGATCTCTGCTTTTGGTTTAGACCCCGCTCCTCAGGGGGATCCAACTGGCTGCTTCAATATCCTTCTGGTGCTGCTGCCTGTGTGCACCTCGCCCACCTTCTCAAGTCTGTACCACACTCTCTATCAGTTAGATTGAGCTAAAACTGATTCTTCTGTCTCTGAGGTTACAAGGTTCCTCTCTCACTTTTGTTCATTTGTTTGTTCCAGGTGATTTCTCCACAATTTAGTTGATATTCCAGGTTTTTCCTGGGAGGAGGTCAGTGTGACTTCCACTCACTCCTCTGCCATCTTGATTCCTCAAATATTTTTGAAATAACTAAATGTTTCCCTCATTAGAATGCATGCTGCAAGTATGTATTGTTTATTGCAGTATTCCTAGTATTGAGCACAGGGTACTTCTCCCTATGTTCTTCCTACTTTGAGCTCTGCCTACCTCTTAATCCCTTTTCCCCTTAATAGAATTGGAATATTTGAGTTCTAGCAGCTCACTATGCTCACTGTCCTTTATAGACTTTTGAACATTCAGTTCTTTAATCTGGCTAACACCTACTTATCCCCCTCAAGTATGTGAGGCTAGCATTATTACTTGTATCTGTCAGTAGGTCTCCCAGAAGATGGCAAAATTAAATGTTACTCTCAGGTGATTTATACCAAATTGGTATAATTTTTCTGTTTTTATTTTCTACATTTTTTTTTTTTTAGAATTTTTACTCTCATTTTATAAAACAATGAAGAGTCCTGAAATAAAATTAACAAGAATGAAGCAACAAAGAAAAAGCCTTTATTTGCTTTTGTTAGCAGGAGGGTCAGTCTGAAAGTAAGACTACCCTATCTTCTGGGAGTTAGCAGAGGTTTTATATATTATAGATGTTAGAGATTGGTCACAAGAAAGAAGAGGGACAAGAAAATGAGAACGTTATGTGTGGGAGAATGCAACTAATCTATTATTAGATTTCATAAGTAGATGTTCTAACACGTGTAGAAAAGTACATTCTGCAGTTTGGAGTCAGGAAGGAAAACAAATATCTTAAATTCAGGAGATGACATTTTTAATTTTGAATTTAGCAAGAGAACCTACAAGTAAGGACTTTCAGTTCTTTGTGTAGGGATTGTGAAAATGGATCACTGCAATTTGAATACTACAATTTACAGAACCATATGTTAAATACCAAGATACGTCATCTGGCCACAGCATTTGTTTTTACCATGAGCACATGGCAAACTGAACCAATCAGAGCACTCTCCAAAGACCTTCTTAGCTCTTAGGAAGGGGGGCCTCTCTTTTTACTGGGATCAGTTCACTGTGAGCTTGTAGAATTTTTGAAAGTTCGGTCAAGCAAAATAATTTATTCAGTTGATCATGATTATTTTTTAGTAGCCAGCCAAATCAAATGAACTAAATTCTAAAGTTCTCAGACAGCTCTAAAAGAAAACCATTGATGGAAGGCAAAAAAAATTTTGTAAAACATGATATTACAGAATTAAGATTTAATCAAACTACAAATTGAGACCTTTGGCATTAATGAATCAGTGAAAAATGTCTTCTAAAATGAGAAAGAATAATACTTGAGAAGGTTACTTTTTCCCCAAAAAGCAAAAATTTTTTAAATGTATTTTAACTGGTATAATTGGCATTTAAAATGTATAATTTTAAGGCATACAACATGTTGATTTGATACATTTCTATATTGCAGTATGATTACCATGGTATCCAACACATCCATCAGGCCACAAAATTTTTCTTTTTTGTGGTAGGAACAATTAAGATCTAGTATTTTAGCTGCTTCAAAGTTTATTATAGGGTATTGTAAAAGCAAACTATTTTATACTTTCACAGGATGTTTAAGAAGCTGATCATATTTAGTTTTAGAAAAGAAAATATAGAATAAATTGCAGACATGAATTATACATCAAGTATGATGTATCAAAAATAAGTACAGCCCTGTCTGGTGTGGCTCAATGGATTGAGTGCCAGCCTGCAAAATGAAAGGTCGCTAGTTCGATTTCCAGTTAGGGCACATGACTGGGTTGTGGGCCAGGTCCCCAGTTGGGAGGATAACCTATTAATGTTTCTCTCACACATCAATGTTTCTTTCCCTTTCTTTCTCCCTCCTTCCCCTTCTCTCTAAAAGTAAATAAATAAAATCTTTTAAAAACAAAACAAAACAAAAATAAGTACATATGATTTCCTATGGTCTGACATTTGTATCTCATGCTCCTGATTGTGGCCAATACAACAAACAATGTATAATAGATCACTGAGAAGCAGAGTCCTTTGTGGGAAGGTAAACTTGTAAATATGGTTTGTGTGTCTGTATGGCAGACTTTGAGTTACTAAAGATAAAGTGGTTTACAAAAGAAAAGAAATCCCACCAGTTGTCTGACAGTCTAAAGGTAAAGGCAAACATAGGCCCCATACTCTGGTAGATAATCACCTTTAACCAGGTCGGCAGTCTATTACTGAGTTTTTTTCCTCCCATTTTAAGCCATCTGGCATATGCCATTAAAATATATTTATCAGGGACTGAGGATGTGAGTGGGGAGAGTAGGCACGTTTTTGACAAGCAACAATGTACAGTAATGTGGGCAATTAAAACCAATTTTTGTTTTTATTTTTAAACCATAGACCCTCGCCAGATTAAATTGACAGGAAACATCAGGCTTGAAAAACTTAAAGCACGTTTTGGCTGGACTGGGTTTCAGAATAGGTCAGGAAGGGAAGAACTCACCTATGTCACCTCTTCAGATTCTTAAAGGCAAAAGTACCGATTTATCCATCCTTACAGTTCTGCAAATAAAGAAAGAGTAGCATAGAAAAGAGTGTTCAAAGGCTGTATGGGAACCACGGATCCTAGTGGTAGAACTCTAGATTCTATCTTTGGAGACTTCGAAGAACCAAAGCTTTGTTTGAACCCGCCATGACTACACCTAGTGGAATAATCTACAATTTCTTGTGGATTCTTGTGCTCCCGTTCACAAGGAGGACAGTAAATTTGGAGGCGGTGGAATGCAATGCAGGGGAAGGAGAGAGAAGGATCAATTACCTCCCTTTGTCTTCACATTGGCCCATTTAGAATATTAAAGGTATTTGAATTAGATAGAGGTCGCAGAGAACAGTACCTGCTACTGGCATAGGAATCTGCGGCAACGGATTTCCAAAACAAACCACCACCGCTGGGGGCGCGAGTGGCTTTATTCCAAGAGACGACCCCGGGAAGGGCAAGCGGTCACCGCCAGAGGGCGTAGCCGCCTCCCTGCGAGGCGCCCACCCGTGGTGCGCGCACGCGAGGCCTCCCACCGCGCCTGCGCCTAGGATGGACGCTGGCTCGCCTTTCCCCGACTCCCCGCCGTCCAGGCCGGGGTGAAAAACTGCGTGACACGCAGCGAGCGTGGCGGCCATCTTCTTAAGGATACGTCAGCTGAGCCCGTTAAGGGCTGAAGAGGAGCGTTGCGCAAGCGCGCCCAAGACAGTCACAGGTAACTCCCATCTGACGGGCGAGGCGTCGCCGTCGTCGCCGGAAGTTTGGCGTTTATGCGCCGCGGGGGAGGTGGCTGTCGCGGCAGAAGCAGCTGAGTGTCTCTTGATACCCGGATGTGAGGCGGACAGCCGGCTCCCGTTGAACCCTCGGCCAGGAGTGAAAAAGGTACGCGAGCGTCCTGACCGTCTCCGCTGCCTGCTGTCGGGCCGCCTGCGTCCTCATTTCTCTTTTGCCAGCCCCTGTAAGGGCCGGACGGCTCTCCCCTTTCCTGTCTCACCCTCGTGTCGTGTTGCCCCGCACGCCTCTTCCTACTCCTCTTGTCCCAGCTCCTCGCGCCTTTGGGAGACAGTGGGCAGCTCCCACACGCCGTCGGCCTGAGGTAAGCAAACAACCTGCGCCTCTCGGCTGCCCAGTCGCCGCATCACCTGCTGCTGCCTGCTGGGCGGTCGGCAGTAAGAAGGGGCAATGATCCAGGACCAGCTGGGGCTCTCGGCGGCCGCTAGAGCGCCAGAGCCCCGAGGTGGCGTGCATCTATTGAGTGAAACTACGAGTGGCGTCGGGGGTGGTCTGCAGGTAGCCCTGGGCCTTGTTCTCGCCCCTGGCGGCTTTCCTTCTCGGTGTTTCCCCTGAGCCTTCGCGGAGCTGCGGTTCTAGCGGCTTGCTGCCCTGCCCCCGCCGCCACCCACTGACCCGGCCTGAACCCTGAGGCCTCTGCAGTCTGGGGTGGGGGGACGACTCGGTGCGGGGGCGGGGATGTGGGGATCTTGGTTTCACAGTCTTTAGCCTGTGACGGGAGCGGTGGCTTGAGTCCAAGGTCATAGAGTAATTTGGGTTGGATGTGAAGATCTTGGGCACAGGTAGAGTTCCCCCGGGAGGAGATATAGGTGCAGTGAAGGCCATAATGAAGTTTAGAGAGAGAGATGTGAGCAGAAGGGGACTGGGCTCTCGATTTTTGTCATTATTCATAAGAAGATTTGACAAATAATGTTTGTTTTATTTGGACAGAATGGGATAGCAAGTCCAATCTCCTTGTCCATCCCCTACCTCCCCCACTACCACCTCTAAACGGCGAGTTCTGAAAACCCAGCACGTACAGTGTTTTCCGGGGTGGGGGTGGGGTGGGCGGGGTGGGGGTGGGGCACGCAGTGGGGGAAGAGGAAGGAGTTAAATTATTGAGATTTGAGAAGTACTTAATTTTTACAGCACTTAAATCCCTGAAATGGGATATTTCCAGCAGGAAGTAGCTGCAGCACACAGTATTTAAATATTGTTATCAAATGATATTTTAATAAATAATTGACTTTTGTAGAAACCAGTAAACGATGCTACTTAGTGGAATAGGAGAATGTGGGTTTTGTTTTTCCCACCTAAACAATACATTTTAAAAAACTGGGTAAAACATTGGTTTCAGTTTAAGACATTCTGGTTGCAGTGAACTTTGCTGTATTTGTCCTTTCTTCTGACTTGGTACTTAAATTCTGCTTTACACGGGGCCCTAACACCAATGGAATTTTTTTTTTAATTTGAAAAACTTGAAAATTCTCACCATGGAATTAGATATGAGAATAGGGTAAAAAGTCCTTTAAAATGTTTATTTTGGAAGTTGCAAATTCAGGCCTTAAAGTACGTGAGGAAATAAGAAAACAGATACTTCCTCCTTTTAGGGAGAATGAAGTATATACCTCCTACAATCAAATGTGTGACTTTGGAAGTACCTTTTTTAGAACAAAACCTACCCTGGCTTATAAGCTTCTGCCTGCCTTAATCATTCCTGGCATATACTGCCATTCCTCATTGATCAGCATTGTAATTCTGTAGTAAACAATAACTTTTTTTAACACCAGCCCCATGCAAGGTTTTGCGCTAGGTAGGCATTTAAATCAATAAATTATGCCTACAAAAGAACTGAAAAAGGACCCCAATTAATGAATGCCATTAACTCCCTTTGCTGGATGGCATTTTGTAGGTTGGTAATTTATTACAGGACAAAGCATATTGTATTTACTCTAATAACGAAGGTGACTAACATTGCACAATTGAAAATAATAGATTTTTAAGTAAAAGTTTTTTCATGACTTTTATTGGCAGATTTATGTTTCAGAGATCTTTGAATAACCTCTATTTAAGGTGATAAGTTTAGAAACCAACTCCAGTAAAATCGTTACCACAGGTAATTCTCTAAAGGACTATGTTAACTCTTTGAAGCCCAGACTGTTTTCTGTGCACTTTTTTGGGGGGTGGGGGGGCTCAATGAAAGTTCTTGAAGCCCAGACTGTTTTCTGTGCACTTTTTTTTTTGGCGGGGTTGCTCAATGAAAGTTCTTTTGTCTCTTTTCTGTGTAAGTTCTAGTTACATTATATTACTGTAGTTACTTTTGGCAAATATATCATTGTGTTAACCTAATCATCCTGTCTTTTTTGAGGGGACTACATCTTATGCTTAATTGGATTACAGTACACCTGAAAACAAAATTTACGTGCTGTGCTCTCCAGCTTACTTTAAACATTTATGGCTGCATGTGTGAGAGTCAACAGAAATAACTCAGGATATAAATAAAAATGGGGTATTAAATGGAGTGGTTCTCAAACTATTTAGTCAGAATCCCTTTATATTCTTAAAAATTATGTAGGACTCCAAATAGATTTTGTTTAATGGGTTATTCTCATTGATAGTTACTGTATTTGAAATAAAATGTGTTAATTCATGAAAGAATAACTAAACTAATTACAGGTTAATATAAGTAACATTTTTTAATGGAAAACAACTACTTTCCAAAACAAAAAAATTAAAAAATGGCATATGTTTTACTTTTTTGGTGAATTTCTTTAATATCAATTTCTGCATTTATTATGTTATATGTTGTTCTGGTTGAAATAGATGAAAACCTAGCATCACTGTTGGAAGGAGTACTTTAATAACCATTTTAGATAATTGTAATAGTCTGATTCCACAACAAAACTCAACAAATGGTAATTTTTTTAAATGTTTGTTGCAGTGTGGAATCTGAAACCATATCCATACAGTTTTCTTGTAATACTGCATTAAAACTCATTGGTCTGTTTTGCACTTTTCATTGATCTTTTACCTATGCATGATTTTGATCTAAGGACCCCTCCAAAAGGGTCTCTGGAATCCTTAGGGTCCCTTAGCACATTTAGAAAACTACTGCTTTAATTTAAATAAATAGTTTAGAATTAATGTAGTTATTGAAGCTGAAAAGGATAGTGATAATATGGAAATGAACTTGTCGGGTAGTTCAGTAAAACCAGGAGTAACTAAGGTAAATATATTCTTTTTTATATTCTCTTTTCATCAAAAGTGTTACTGTATCAGTAATATTATTGTAGCTTATTATTATTATCGCTAATACTGAGTAAGTGTTTTTGCTGTGCCATGAGCTGTTTTAAGGACTTTATATTTGGAAATGTTTCTATTGTGTCATCTTTAGTGATGGATGGATAAGAGAAAGGAAAATATAATTTAACTTATTTTTCCCTACATACATTATTCTTTATAACACAAATATAGTTCCATAGACTGAAGGCTTTCCTTCTACGATCAACAAGACAAGGATGTCTGTTCTTGCCATCTATATTCAACATTGTGCTGGAGGTTCTACCCAGGACAATTAGGCAAGAAAAAGAAATAAAGGCATCCAGATTAGAAAGTAATAAAAAAACTATTTCTGCTTGCAGATGACATGATCTTATATGATGAAAATCCTAAGGAATCCACAAAAAAAAGCTTTAGAACTAATAAATGAATTCAATAGAGTTATAGAATACGAAGTCAATGTACAAAAATCAATTGTATTTTTGTATACTACCCATGAATCACCCAAAAAGAAAATTAAGAAAAGAATTCCTTTTATAATAGAATAAAAAAATAAAATACAGTAGGTCCTCGATAATGTCATTTCATTCAATATAGTTTTCTTATTAAACAATGTTTCTGGGGTACCATGAGAACTTAACCCTTTTTTACACCAATTAAACTATGTCTATGATAAAATTGGTTTCATTTACATTGTTTCCCTTAACATTGCTCAACCTAATGACGATGTTACATTAATATACTTACAAATAAATTTAGCAAGAGAAGTGCAAGGCTTGACACTAAAAATTATTAAACATTGCTTACAATATTAAAGATAAGCTAAGTACATGGAAAGATATCCATGTGTAAGGATTGGAAGACTTAACATTAAGGAGCAATATTCCACATCGATCTACAGAATTAGTGCAATCCCTGCCAAAATCCTAGCTAACTTTTTTGCAGAAATTGACAAACTCGTCCTAAAATTCATACAGAATAGCCAAAACAATCTTAAAAAAACAATAAAAAAGTTGAGGGACTCACACTTCCTCATTAAAAAACTTACTGCAAAAGGAGCCAAGAACCCTTCCCAGGTAGCTCAGTTGGTTAGAGCGTAGTCCCAACGCGCCAGGGTTGCAGGTTTGATCCTGGTCGGGGCACATAAAAGAATCAGTCGATGAATGCATAAATAAATGGAATAACAAATCAGGCAATCAGTGAATCCCTCTCTTCCTCCCTCCCACCCTGCTTCCCCTTCTCCCTTCCTCTCTTTCTGGAAATCAATCAATAAATTTTTTTTAAAAGGAGCCAAGAATGTACAATAGGGAAAGGACAGTTTCTTCAGTAAATAGTGTGAAAACTGGAAAGCCACAAACAGAATTGAAAATGGACCCCTGTCTTATACCATGCATAAAAATTAACTCAAAATGAATTAAAGACTTGAATGTAAGACCTGAAACCATAAAACTCCTAAAAGAAAATATCAGTGATAAGTTCCTTGATATTAGTCTTGGTGGT